TGCTGCTGCTGCTGCTGCGGTGGAAAGCGCCAAAGGCTACAACTTTTTTCGGTGTTTTATTTTGATTTCGGATTTGGCTGTGATTTGGCGTTGATCGTCTGTTTTGGTCTGATTTTTTTCTGGTCAGAGAGATAATGTCGGTTCCTGCTGAAGAAGAAGAGGAAGTTGTTTTTCTAGGAAAAGTTGAAAATGAGGATGAAGAACAAACATTGACTGAGCAGTTGGAGCAGCAGCAGGCGCAGGTAAGGCAAAATTTAATTAAATCACTCCGCACTTGAGCCGGCCGATTCTCATTGGATTTGCCCATCTATTCCTCAACTCGAGTGCGGAGTTTCTTTTCTCCTGATTTCCAATTTCTAATTCCCGTTTCTCATTTCTTTAGCTCGATGTCATCAACGAGCAGCTCGAGGTTGATCCAAGTAGTGAGGACCTTCAGCAGCTCAAGGGAAGCCTCGATGAGCTAGTTGGCCTTCTACAAGGGGAGCTGCTGAGGGTGAAGAAGGCGAAGCTTCTTTCGGTAGTGGAGGCTCAGTTTGGATCATCATCATCATCATCATCAAGTCAACCACATCAAAACAATGTAAAATCTAAAGAATCCTCATCAGAATCATCTTCAGAATCTTCTTCCTCCTCTGAAGAGGAATCCACCTCTCTTTCAGCAATAATCGAGCAGTTCAACGGCCAAGAGTGCTCGGTCCCCTTTGGCGCCTCTGATCAGTACCATGACGCAATTTTGAGGGCTGATGAAGAAGTTGAAGGAGAAAATCGAACTCCTGAATCACTCCTCTTCAACGCCTTCTTCCTCTACCCGCTCACCCAGTCGATGCTCACCTGTCCTTTCTACTTGAAAGGAAATTGTCGTTTTACCTCCACCTCCTCTAAAACCTGCAAATACTCGCACGGACATCGAGTCACCGTTCAGCAGATTCGTCCCAAGGCCGTCTACTCGATCGGCGAGGAGGTCAACTACCAGAAAGATGGTGATAACTGTAACCGGAAACTATTTGGCCTGGTTCGAAACTCGGCTCTTCCAGCTACTTCTTCTTCAGGTGAAGGCAGCAAAGATGATCACCACCTGTGGACTCGCTGTGAGATCGTCAAGACAGATCCTGGAACTGGTCGGGTCCTGGTGAAGCTAGTCAGAGACTGTATTGATTTTTGGGTTCCGATGGAAATGCTGGTCCTGGTGGATCAGCAGTTTGAAAAGGAAGAAGAGGAAGAAGAGGAATTAAAAATTCTAGCTATGATGAGTTCCCAAATCGGTAAAAATATTCTTTAAAAAATCCCTAATTCTAAAATCTAACTTTGATTTATTTTAGAATCCTCAAATACCAATTCCGCTACATCATCTTCTTTTGGCGAATGGGAGCGCTACACTAGCGGCATCGGCTCAAAACTGCTCCTCAAAATGGGCTACACTAGCGGCACCGGCCTGGGCAGCCGCGCCCAGGGCATCCTCAACCCAATTGAATCGTACGTCTTTCCGCCCGGCCACTCTCTGGACGCCTGTTTCACCCTCAAAGCCGAGTCAGAGCGAAAGAAGCTCGACATTGAGGAGGTGATGAAGGAGAAGAAGAAGGAACGCCGATTGGAGGCGAAGCGAGCAAAGCAGTACGAGAAGGCGGTGGAAAAGAGCCGGGAAAAGGCGGAAAATAACTCTGTGTTTCGCCTTCTCGATGACATGTTCCACTCGGGAAGTTCTTCTGCTTCAGCTTCAACTTCCGCATCCTCTTCTTTTGGGTCATCAAAGAAGCAGAAGGTGAAGAGTGAGCCTAGCCGAAATCAAACTAAAAACCTCGATGCTAAATCGCTGGCCCTCTCTGCCTTCAAGGTCGACGAGGAGCTGAAGAAGGCGGAGGCTGAGCTGAGGAGGTACGAGGAGTCCTTTAGGAGGAACTCCAAAGGAACTCCTAATGGAAAGTCGGCTGATGTTCAGGGGGATCTAGGCCTGAAGACGATTCAGCAGAAGAGGGATCAAGCGAGGGCGGTCGTCGATGGATTGAGGAGGCGGCAGGCGGAGCTGGGAAGGGAGACCACTCTGAGGAAGGATAAGCAGAAGATGATTTTCTGATTTTTGGAGTAAAGTTTATGTTTTCAGTTATTTATATAATATTATATCGATATTATTTTTAAATTGTTTCTATTTTTATTGATTTGTTATAAATGTTGATTGCATTGATAAAGGAAACAGACGCGGGTCAAAAATAAAGTGAAGACCTATAGACAATTGTGATCACTTTTTAATGTTTGATTACAAAATTTATGTCACAAATCAAATACTTATTTTTGTTTTATCACACAGTGGTATGTTTTGCATTGTAGTTGCCTAGGGCAACTGATGATTTTTTTGAAACTATAGAGTTATTATTATATTCATTTTTGTTATTAGAGTTTAACGTTATTTCATTAAATACAAAAGTAATGTTTGGTGGTACTTTTGTGCAAGAATTATTATAAATGTTTTTTACAGAATAATTCTTTGCAATGGTTTGTTTATTGATTTCATCTAAAGTAATTTCATCTAAAGTAAACAATTCAAGCTGAAAAGTTAAAAATTTCAATAAAAATAAAATTTTTTAAATGAAAAACAAAGTTGTTAGCAAACCTGGCATTTTATAGTTAGGTTATTGTTTTCTATAAAATCTAAACATTTTTTAGTAAGTATATACCGGTCACAACCAAAATAAGTCATATTGTTTTTTGAAAAAACACCACAAAAAACTATTTTAAAGTAAAAAATTTTTTATTTATTTATATTGTTTAAAACAAAAAAAAACAATTGTTTTATGTATTAAGGCAAGAGTGAGTCGAATTTTCTATTTTATTGGCTCTCGTATTATTCCTATATGAATTGTCGTTTTTCTGCCAACTCTTATAACTCAACTTCTAGAGTACCTGAAATTTAGGTTAAAATCTCAAATTATAGTTTAAGAGTTGCTCTACAAAATAATGGGAGCTTTTAATTTTAACTGCTTTAGTTTAGTTTTTATGAACATCTGAATTTGTCAAAACACAACATTTTGCAAGTTTCTAACTTCAAATATTCATATAAACTAAACTAAAGCAGATAAAATTAAAAACCCCCATTATTTTGTAAAGCAACTCTTAAACTTTAATTTGAGACTTCAACCTAAATTTTAAGTACTTTAGAAGTTGAGTTATAAAAGTTGGCAGAAAAACGACAATTCATATAGGAATAATACGAGAGCAAATAAAATGGAAAATTCGACTCATTCTCGCCTTAAAACATTACCAAAATATAAAAAAGCTTTTGCTCTTCAGCAAAAATTTTGCACTTTAAAAAACAAAAATAGACAAATGTCACACTAGCAACGTCAATCGCTGAGCGATGATGATTAAAGCGGATAAAGAAAGAACGTCGTTTCCGCCCTTTAAGTTTAACCTATTGTCGTACTCCTAATTACGCCCAGGAACTGAATATGCTCTTCTCCTTTGGCATATACCATTCAAATGTTACCCTTCTTTTAAGTGGAATTTCTACTTTGTCTTTGCCTTCCTGGCCAAATTAACCCTTTCAGGCCTGCTGGGACTAAATCGTCCCAGATATTTAAAATTTTGTGAGAAAAAATTTGTTTGAGTTAAAATAATTTTGTTTTAAAACATATAATAATTGAAATCAAATCTCTCTTTTGTATTAAAAAAAATTTTTGGTTTTTATGTGCAAGTTTTAGTAGTCGTCCATGAAAGGTTAAGAAACTGTGTTTTTAAAAAATAAGTGTTTTTAAAAAAATGTAAAAATTAGAAAATCTATATCTTTTATAACAAACGGTTTTAAAATTTGAGATTTTTTCTGTGTAAAATTTAACTTTTTAACTAAA